AGAACAAAGAAAATGCTTCTTTAAAATTCAGTTTTAAGTGAGATGAGATTTAGTGAGTGTGACTAGCTTATCTAGTGGAGTGGGTGTGTTTATGTAACGCTGAGTACAAACTTTGTTTAACTCCAATAAAACTGGTGTTGAGATATGATCTGTTGTTCTGAATTACTTTGTTCATGTGATGTGAGATGTGATTTGTTGTTTTTACTTTCTGAATTACTTCCTTCAATTACTATGGGGGTCTCTTTCTTTCTAAGTTATTTTCTTCATGTGCTATGTGGTGTATCCTCATAATCTTCTTATATAATAGCCTAGGTAAGGGGATATAAACTCCCCCCTTATCGATTACTCTACACCCCTTTCTCCACCCCCCCCCCCCCCACCCCTTAGAGAATACCAGGGTTTCTTCTTTCAGTCATTTTTCTCCAAGGGGGGGGGGGGGGGGGGGGTAATGGTTATAGTATATATTTTCTATATGAATTAATATTTTTCTATTTTGTCGGGAGAGGGAGGCGGTGGACATGTTCGAAACCTAAATATAAAAATTACCTTTGCATTAGTACTAGTTAATGTTAGATTTAGTGTACATTTAATTGGTGAAGAGACTTGGCGTTGTAATGTTATACTGTGGGAGGCTGGTGGTCTACTGGCTTCACGCTGTCGGGCGTAGCTTAGTATTTTTCATTGAGAAATTATAGAAGTTACAGTAAACTCCCCCCCCCCCAACTATTTAGTTTCAAATCTTTAAGGGGAAATAACTAAGCTAGGCTTATTTTGACAAGAATATTAAATGAGTTGTTTCCCATAGCATAGGAAATAATACAGCATTTGCAGTGTGAAGGATGGCTTGATTTTACTTGAGTTCGGAAACCGAACTGCGCCCCCCCCCCCCCCTCCGAACAACGGAAATGTATGGGTATTGCGGATCGATTGAGAGAAATGCTCAAATCTTCATCCTGTTGTAGTCAGACAAACGAACATTTCAGTAAGAAATAATAGCAATGCAAACAGAAAGTGATATTCATACATGGAGGGCGAAACGATTTGGTGCCGCGTGAATTGTAGGTTCAAATCCCGTTGGGTTTAAACTGTTCTGTCTTTACTTGGACTATATTCTGTACCTTTGTCTATCCCTGGCGTTGAAATATCACTTTCTATTTACATTGCTATTTCAGTATCAACGCCTGCTTCCAACCCCTCTGCTCATAGGAAATAATGGAGCAGTGGTTCTTAACCTTGTTCTTGATGAAGTACCGAACCCCACAAGTTTCATGTGCACATTCACCGTACACTTCTTAATAGTTCTATCGTCCACCGCGACAAAATCCGATCGTAAATCATTGACCCCCACCCAACCACTGAGAGTGATGCTGAACCCTTGGGGTTTGATCGAACACAGGTTAAGAGCCACTGATATAAAGAGAGATATAAATGCTTTATTTTGTGAATTATTAAGTGTAAACTCGGAGTTTTCATACTAAAACAATAAAATAATCTCAATACAACAATACGGCCTACACGCAAGGCTATAATTTTATAGAAAACTGTAAAGATAGAAATATCTAGATCTAGTAAGTTAAATCAATAATTGTTCAAACCCGATCATGTGATCCACATAGGTAGGCTACCACTCTGGATAAAGTTGTCTTAGTTATTTATGAGTCGTAGCTATTTCCCCTAGAATGCCCTAGATCTACATGGAACACCTTATTAAGTCTATCGATAGCAGATCTAACAAACATTTCGATTGAAAAACAACCCAGTCATTCAGTATGTGAGTAGGCCTAGTGTTGTACGCCTATATTGCAACAAACAAACAATATTTTGTTTTCTTGGCCTACTGTTTATAAAATCGATTTAGATCTAGTTGTTGTATGAAGACAGAGTTTCTTCCAGGCATCTCTTCGGGGGGGCTTCGCCCCCCCGAAAAATTTTTACCGCCCCCCCGAACGAAATAAAATTTATATAATTTATATAGAAAATATATACTTTTAACAGTGTCCGCCCCCCCGAAGAAAGTTTACCGCCCCCCCCGAAGATTTCAAGTGCCCCCCCGGAGAAAAAAGTCTGGAAGAAACACTGTATGAAGAACATTCCATTCGGTAGAGTAGGGTACATATTTTTGTTACTAGATATCTAGATGTCAAGGGATATTTATTTTTAAGTAAAAGACTGTGTCATGGGCCTTAATTAATATTAATTTAACAGCATCACCGTAGCGTATCAGTTCTGAACGGAAGCCTAGCGTGTTCTGGTATCAGTTATGTAACAACACAGAATGCCTTGACAGTTGACAATTTTAGGAACAAGGTCGAGGCCAACTATTTATAATTCCGCAGTACTTTGGTTCGGTATTTTCCGTTGTAGTAGGTGTAGACGAACTATGTGTGCCGTATTAGTTTTATCAATTAGATTTCGTATAAGTGGCTGTGTGTTGATAAAGAAAGTTCATAAATTTAGATCAGCTTCTGCTATGGCGGGACTTAAAACATACCCCCGAGTACACTATACGTATGGTTTATTTGTCCATATGTAACTCTATCCACTTTTGACTTTTAGTAATATCACAGGCTTCAGTTCTCATTTTCCATCTTTTATCACTCTGTTCAAATTGGCTACTATATGTTTACCTTCTTCTAGGTCAATCTTTATTGGTGGTCTAATCAGAGGAGATAACTAAAAATAAACCCCATTAAAGATAAGATAAAATGAGAAACAAAATAGCGTATAAATAGTGTATGCTGATGACTTTTATTTATAACTTAGTCAAAATATATCTCCACGTGATTAAACAAATTGTTCAACCATTATTGATAATTAAATACCAATTAAGGATCGTGCACCTAATAGCCTATATAACAATGGAAAGGTTTTTAACCACTACCTACCCTATATAACATTATATATCATATACATACAATCACCCCTCATCCCCCTTAGCCTTCAGACGATTTAAAATAGCAAAGATGAAGGAATTTAGAAAATATAAAAGTTGAGTTGCATCATTTTTTAAAAATAGAAAATAGCTTCATTCATCCACATTAAATACACTTTCAGATATTCTTGTTGTATTTAAAATTAAAATTAAATAATTCTAACTAGAAAAAAAAATAGCAAGCAATGAAAAAATATAAATAAACAAAACGATGAACCACCAACTTGTCACATATCTGCACGATCCTTATTATAGAAAAAACAAAATAATACAATCAAAGGGTCATCTAAAGGTTTTGCAAATAGCTAACCATAAATTACCTTTAATAACAAAATTTAATTATCCATCTCTCTTACAAAAATAACATAAATACGCGGTAATATTTTTAGTACGTGTTTTATTTTTTAACTGGATAATTATTTATTTGACACCGTTAGACGCGCCCCCTCAGTATCGATTATTTCCGGCTGCCGGAGAGTTCCGAAAATCTCACGCTTTTCAGCATGTGACAAGCGTATAAATAAAATGTATTTCTCAGGTGGAAGGAAACAGTTAAAGTTAAATACTAATCCTGCATGAAACTTGATGCATAAGACATAAAATATAATAATGCACATACAATATAATATAGCTCGTAATAATACGGCTTTACACTTGTTACAAGATGTAGAAATAGAGGATAACACAAAGTATGAAAATACTATTATAGATTGGCCTTGACGTAATTTTTGAAGCGCTTGTTCGATTAGCAATGTTGCCAGATGTGCGGATTGATAAAGTAATTTAAATGCCAACTCGCTTGGGCCTTATGAGCAGTTTCTCTAGGCCTTACTGCCCATTTGTGTGTTTAGACCACTGTCAAAATTTTCTTAATTTTACATTTTCACACTTTATTTTACTAACAATAGTCCTACTTAAAGCCTGTCTAGACATATGCCTTGTTGGGTATTATCATTATGTTTTGTTTGCTCTATTAATATCATTATAGGCGCCCCTAAGTGACAGTGTTGGCCTATGCCCTTATCAAGATTGCCTTTGATTTGCATGTAATTTTTTGTTCAAAAAATAGTTAGGGAATATAATTTAAAAAGCACCGTACTTAACATTATTAGATATTTATATTTCTTTGTTTTGTTGGTCTGTTTACAAATCATTTAGAATTACACGATTTACATTATTTTACGTCTACAAATTAGTTGGAAAAATGTAAACGCAGCATATTGAACTGCAGAGTAATTATGGCCTAGATCTATAAAAAAATTACAGCAGTTTTGAAATTAAAGCATTTTACATATATTTTACTCAATGTGAATTTGGGGTGGATTGGCTTGGTCCAAGAGGGGGCCTCCAACCCCAGATTGAAATTTTCATTGTGAATTTTTTCCCCATCAAGACCTGATGATCATCCTTAGCTTGATGGAAACCGCACGATTAATTATTTAAAAAAAATAAAATCAAAATACTAGTAGGCCTAGAAAATCTAGTAGCCTACAGCACCGTTCCTGTGTCCACCAATATTTTTTTTTAGTTGGGGACCCACTGGCGAACTAGTCCACCCCTGATTTGAGACCACTATAAAATATAAGTTAAAATAACTGATGCGGTGATTGAGAGTTGCGCCTTTTATTGTAATCGTGCATATCTTTCAAATCGTTTTGCATTATTTTTTTTATTTTGAAGTGGGAAATTTTAATATGACATCTCTTCTCTTTCATGCCCTTCTTTCGCGAACCAGCAATAAAAGATTTGTAAATGAGTAAAATTCATAATCAACTCAAAACAAAGTAATACAATTTATTTGCAATTTATCATTATCTTTTAAAAAGGTAGCCACGTTGTATAAGTAGTATATTTTAAAAACCTGTAATTATAATGTAGGCCTATTATAAGTTGCCTGTCTTCACTTGGTTTAAAAATATGGCGGCACTAGTTTAGCTCGATCTAGCCGGTTTTACCTGAAAAAAAATCTGGCAACTGTGGCTGTTATGATTCTAGCAGAACTAGCCCATAGTAGGCTAAAAAGCTTCAGGTGGTTAAGAATATTTTAGAACTTTTTACCTGTTTGAGTGTTATGTTAGACTGATGTTATTAGACCTAAAATATTTAAGAACTGTGTTATTTAGATCTGTTGTTCACGAATTGAATTGAATCTAGAAAAAATAAATAATCTAGACAAGATTAAGTTATTTTATTGTTAATTTTTTTTCTGGTGGATTTATTTGTGGACAAAATAAAAATAAAAATAGTGTCGCGTTGCAGATTTTTATTTCTGTCATATCTCAAGGACCATTTGTTTACAAATATCTATAGACATTGATCTATGTCAAGCAATAGATCTAATTCTCATAATAATAATAGATTCTAGATCTAGCCTGGATTCTTGATTGAATATCTAACCGCTAACCTAACTTCTAACAACATCACAACTGGAGTTGGTAATTATTTAAATTAAATTTAGAAAAGACTTTATTTAGATTCCTATGTCACTTTATCAAAACTTTATAAATTATATGATCATTTAATAATTTATCTAGAGTCTAGTTCTAGATATTTTGATATTAAAAAAAATGTCAGTTGGCTAGTTTGTAGGCCTCAAAGCTAGACTAGATCTATCAGTTCAGTATCTACTATCTAGATCTAGATCTACAGACCAGAGTGACCAAGAGAGAGTGGGATTTTTTTAAAATTTTGATACCCTTGCCTTAGCCTACTATACTAGATCTACCTACTAGATCTAGATCTAGCTAGATCTGCTTATAGTAATAATAATACTTACTTGGTTGTCTTAAAAGTTAAAAGTCTTAACTAACTAACTCGTGGCTACTAGACTGTTACTTTATTTTTCTTTATGTCTACCTAGACTCGAGATTCTACATCTATGTCTGAATTGTCTGCATAAAATAGTGGGGGGAATTTTATACCAGTGTCCAATAAATTCCAATAATAGAATCTTCTTTAAAAAATGGGTGTTAGGTTACTCGTAGTTAACTGAATCATACACACATGGCTGGCTAAAGTCAATGCTAACCCTGTCCCTAACGTTAACCCTAGTCCTACCATACGCCTAACCTAACATTTTGGTCGAGATTGCTATACAACTAACAACCCAACACACCTATTTTATGGAAGAGTCTATTTATCGGACATCGTTATCTAAAATCATTCAAATAGTCTAATCTAGACTGAGGGGAAGTCAGTTAGCTTTGATTACCTTATTTTCTAGCTTGAAGTATAAGTAAGTAGCGCAGTGGCAATGTCTTTTAGACTCCAGTGAAATGTATTTAGTCTGTAGTCAAGTGTGAGTGTAGTGTAAACTGTAGGCTGTAGGGTTAAAATAAAATTACTTGGCGGCTATTAGGCCTAAGTTTTAATTATTATGATCTGTGTTAAACTTGAAGTAGTTAAAATTAGATCATGGGTCTAGTCTAATTAAAAAAAAAATTAAATTATGAACGTTGATGCCTTACAGTGGCTGAAATGTAACCATTTCATTTTTGAGTAAAGCATAGATTAGATTCTTTCTTATTCTAGGATGGCTGAGGCTATTGGCAGTCTATCATTTCATGCAGTATACAGCTGGGGAACGGGAATGGAGTATACTTTACATTAAAAGAGCAGTGCTATTTTTTGTTATATTAATATAAGAAAAAGTATTAGACTAAGGTTTAAATTTATATTCATAACTGCTACACAAATGCACTATAAAGTAATTAATTAGGACATAATAATAATTTTAAGTCCTTTATTAATAACTAGAATACCTGTCATCCGTTGGATAACTGTGGGTTTCGGGGGTCATCCATCAAAAAACATCACGTCTGTCACTCAGAGGCATAGCGACCCTTCCCGGCGCCCGGGGACAAACTTTTCGATTTTCAACCCCCCCCCCCCCCTCAAACTTTTGATGTGCACCCCCCCCCCCCCCCCACTCAAACTTTCGATTTGAACCCCCCTCAACCTTTCAATTTATTTTTCCAAACCATTTTGGCGCCCCAACATATGTCCCCCCCTTCCCCCCTCCACCTCCCCCCGCCTCCCCTTTCTAGATGTATTAAGGCCTGAAATAGATTCTAGATGTAGAATTTACATTAAGTCTAGATCTAGAATTTACATTGAGTCTAGTGACCTAGATCTAGGCTAGATTCATAACTTTCCTTCGACAGCTTATCTTTAGATCTAGAGAAATTTATCTTAAAACTAAATGAAAAAGACAGTTGAAAATTGATATAAGTGTTGGAACGTAATAAATACAGCAAACGGACGTATTGTTAAAGTTAAAGCCGACAGAAAATTAGCTTTAGAACGCGTTAAACATTGGAATGGGAACACAATCTTCTTCTATAGGCCGCCATTATCGATGTAAAAAATAAACACATCATGTGACGTCACTGTTTCCGTCGAGTCTAGTGGCTTTTCAAATCTTTTTAAAAAATTGTGGTTAGTATACCTATGAATAAATCAATAAATTAATTAACGTCTTTAAATAAATTTGTGATTAACAGTCTGTCTGCATTAAAAAATTATTCTCTACCTACATACTATTTTACAGCTCTCCGGATAGAGTAGAAGATATCACAATACTCGATCGGACAAAGAAACAAATAAATATTCAAACATGTAAACAAACTTGACTTTTAGTAGTATATAGATTGTGCATCACTTTTGTCGTAGCTCAGTCACATAGATATCCAACTGCTAATAATCATTTTAAAATTAACATACAAAATTTCAGGTGGAATAGCATTTCCAATTTAATTAGTTGTAATTCATATATATATATATATATATATATATATATATATATATATATATATATATATATATATATATATAATTATTAGGTTAAAGTAGCAAAACCTTCATTCTATAGGCATAACTTGTGTCAAGAGACAAGGTATGACCCACAAAGTTAATGTGACATATGAACATCTATTTAGCCATCTAAAGTTGACCCAACAGCCAAAAGTGTCTCCATCACCACACAAAACTACAAACACATTGTTTAAAAGGAATTTATTATAATTTAATCTTGGAAGATGTTTTAGAAAGTTGATACATGTAATGCCAGCAGCTAAGTAAATGCTGTAAGTTGTCAAAAAGTAAAGAATAAAACACATTTAAAAACCTTTATAACATGATAAATGGCCCATTGAGGGAGAAATACAATGGCGTTAGGTCGATAGTGTTGTCTTTTTCTCTAAACCAAAACCAAAATCACCTCTTTAAATTTAACCGGAAACGAAAAATGTCTTTAGATATGTAAACTAACTTTATGAATACTTTCCTTTCAGGAAGTTAATGTATCAAATCTACCTCTGAGTGAACTTTGAAAATAGAACTCATGGAAAAGCAACTTCCTGAGAAAAGAAAAAAATCCAAACTAAACAAGTCAACAGCAGTAAATGTTAATGATTCCAGTTATGGTTCGTTAATCACAGGGTAAGAGATTGTACACGTTTGAAAATTCTTTTTCTTCTCCTTTTTCAGTCTCAACTTTTTCCAGTAATTTTCCTGTCTTTTTCAATTTTTCCAAACTTATATGTTTTGGGTCCCCCCTTTTTGTTGATCTTTGTAGATTACATGATATACCTTGACTGGTAATACTTATTGCTTGTTTCCACAACAGATGCCCTATTCATTGCCTGCTAGGGGTCATCCATTTATAACATCCACACGGGGGGGGGGGGGGTCAGAAAAATGACTTTTGCGGACGCGTATGGACTTTTATAAGGGAAATAAGAAGTGGATTTTTGGGGGGGGGGGGGGGGGGGGTCCATAATCCAAAAAATGTGGGGACATCATAAATGGATGACCCCTTATTTCCTTAAGCCATGGTGTTAGGTACTATTTAAAAAATAGGTACTATTTAAAAAATATTGTAATCTGTTCCAGCCCTCCTTAACCTTTGGTGAACGCCTGTTTTCAGTGAAGTAGGATAAAAAAAAATACATTTTACTAAGTTAGCGTACAATGCCAGTACAGTATCAGAACTTAGTACTGCTAGATTAGCAGGGTTAATGTTCAGTCTCTTGTTTTGAAATATCAATGTGTACTTCAACTTCATTAACTTCCGTGAGACCTAGTACCCAATTCCTTAATTATTCTTAGGCTTGTTTAGGGAATCTATTTAAAGAAGTAAAGAATCCTCTTTTGACCTAGCGATCCATTGGGCAGATGAAGTAAAGCTCATATGTTTCTTGACCTTGCCATATGAAGGGAAGGTTTAGTCTGCATTTTGCCCAGCCGCCTTTACTTTCCCTAACATGAGTTAGGTACCCATCAGAGCTGGGTAGACTCAGGAACGCTCTTCTGACTTAGACCCAAATTAGAACTCGAGAATTTTTTATTTAGCAGCCTAGAGCTCTACCGTTTACGCCATCCCATAGGGAATCTTTATACTCTTCAGTAATTAAAGACTTCCATCTACCTCATTTTCATTCTTGTAAAGACTCAAAGGTCTCTTGTAAACTCACACAAGCAGTATTAAACTAGGTTTTGTTAATATTAATGAGTATACAACCAAAATCATTCTTTTCTCTGTTTTGTCTGAAAAGTGACAGATCACAACCACATGCTTTATATAAAATTATAGAAATTTAATAAATACATTTGGTAATTTATCGCTAGTAAATAACTTATAACCATCTTTTTTACAAAACTTTCTTTTTGAAGTACTGGGTTATTAAGTGTTGAGATCTAAACCACATTTTATCAAGATATTATCCCATGTCTTATCAATACATCATCCTTGTTATATTATCAACACGTCATTTTCTGTAGTTTATCAACACATCAACCTCTGTATTTTATCAACACAAACTGTATTTTTTTATCAACACATCAACTGTATTTTATCAACACATCAACCAAGACATCACACCATCTCATCTATCAATGTTTCTCATTCCTCTAGCATTATTCCTCTACATATCTTGGTTTTGTCAATCTTGATCTTTTAAATAATTTTGATGTTTTATTTGTATTCTTTAATGCATTTAAAAATGCTTTACCAATTATCAATGTGTCAAAATGTGTTGGTGACTGATTTTGTTACCTCTAGAGTATAAAGTTTTATTATAAGCATTTTTGTATTGGCTGTATGGTCAGAAGTAGAGTGCAGGATTGCTAACCTATAAGTTTCCAGTTCAAATCCCTGACTCAAACCTGTAGAATATCCCTGAGTCCACCCAGCTCTAATGAGTATCTGGGGAAGTTTAGGAAGCTTGGCATAGAACTGACCATTCCATCCCTTCGCATGTTGAGTTCACTGAAACTTGTAAACTGTGCCTCACCTGAGCCATTTACTGTCAATTCCACAAGGCTATCTCTACTTATGAATAAAATGCGTATTAATATTAGTTGTCTGGAATTTGATTATTTCACCACATTACTTAGCCAGATGACTTTATCATTGCCTACTTTGGCTGTGTACACTATCCTCCATATGCTGAGGTCATTGAAACAGATAAACTCTTGTTCCTCTGCCCCATGTGTCTTGTGCATGAAAAAGAAAATATTATGATGACCTTTGCGCTGTACAGTTTAACTTTTCCAGTGCCTTTATTATAGTTTGGAGTGTAGTTTGTAGTTTACAAGGAAACAGCAGAACTTAATATTCTACTAAATAAAATAGCCCAATACCAAAATAAGCTTTCATAGACATAAAGACCTACACACCAGACTGGCTGTATGTTAGATTTGGTTCTAAACTTTTCATTACCCTTGTTTACATTAGACTAGCTTGTTGACACACATGTAAATTACAATGGATATGTAGTACTCATGTCAACAAAAACACATGGGAGTGGAGTTGGACACATTGCTAGCCCATGAGTCCGGATTCAGGTCCCTGAGTCAAAAGGACTTCCCAGAGTCCACATTCTTTGACTGAAGTTAAAAAAACTACATGCTTCATAAGCCAATCTCAACACAATCAAATTAGTTGTTTATTTTTCCTGTCCTATCTTTTTTAAAATCCTTCTACATATCTGGGGTTTAATCAGAGGCGTAGCGACCCTTCCCGGCGCCCGGGGACAAACTTTTGATTTGCAACCCCCCCCCCCCTCTCAAACTTTCGATTTTCACCCCCCCTGAACTTTTCATTTGCATCCTCCCCCCCCCCCCTCAAACTTTCGATTTGCACCCCCTCGAACTTTTCATTTTCACCCCCCCCCCCCAACTCAAACTTTCAATTTGTTTTTCCAACCCGTTTTGGCGCCCCCCCCCCCTTAAGGTCGGCGCCCGTGGACATATGCCCCCCCCCCCTCGCTACGCCTCTGGGTTTAAAGGATCATAAGGCATACGCTGCTGTCATTGTCTTCTGTATTATCTTGTATAGTTCACAATTATGTAGGGGGGGGGGGGTGACCTTTGTAAAAAAAAAAAGACAACTTCCAAACCTTCACTTTTTAAGGTACAGTAAATGCTTGTGATAAACAATGAATCTTTATCTCATTGACTTAACATAGCGTTTTTTTTTTTTTAGGATACACGTTCTCATAGTATCCAACCATTTGAGCTTAATTTTATTTTTAAAAATGATTCTCTCATATTGATTGAAAAATTGAGCAGTTGTTACATAACTATTGAGCCGTCATTTTCCCATTTACACACACGTTCACCAAACCATTACACCTCAGCGGAACGGTTGAAAACCAGGAGAAAATCTAGCATCTATTTTTAGATTAGAATGTGTACCGATCGAAGCGTCGCGTTTATTTTCTACTCCACTTGCGTCACAATGTCTTGAAACTACGAGATAAAGATGGAAATAGCACTCAGATTGCTTGAAATTTTTCTTGGCCGATAAACGATGAACTAAATATAAACTGTCCAACTTCAACATTACACGTAATATTGTGCTAATTTTTACTTGTAATTATCATACCGATATAATAATCTCATGGCTTTAATCAGCCACGAATACGATTATGTAGCCTATGCTTTTTTATCTTAGTCTATTTTAAGCATTCAATACAGATACTTATAAATGTAGCTCTTAATTTCAACAGTAAATGCTGTGAATCACAATAGATGTATGATAATCAACTGCAATAGTTGTATTACCTCTCGTTTGTAATGAAGCATTGTAAAATAACATGATAGATTTAACTTTCAAAAGTTTAGAAATGATTTGTTTTATATGCTAATTAAAGCACTGGCATTACTTGACCGGGAGAAAGTAGCATTTTAACACAGGAGCCGGGGAACGGAGTTTTGGTCTTCATGAGAGCTCTAGCGTAGCGATGATAGTACAATGCGTTGACCTAAAGACACTTCTTCATTTTACCTGCCTCAACTTTAAATTCTGCTTTAACGTTCTCATTTGAAAATCCCTGTCATTATAGTTATATTTGAGTCACCAGTCAATTCGAGTTACTAAACATAAAAAGTAATGCCCTTTTCAAGAAAAGCTGGTGTTGCAGTATTTGAGCACTACTGATGTGCGCACAAATCACGGTGTTTTATTTCGCTAATTAGACCGTAATCATAACTCAGTTGACAGGCCATTCAGCGTCATCAGTTTTGATGGATCGGCTCTATGCTGGTGACCCCCACCCTCGTGGTTAACACCCGTGCCGCTGGACACCCAACAAACCCACGTGATTGTTGGGTCGTCTGCTGACCCTTCACAGCACGCTCACATTTCTGTATGGTATCTTCTTCTCCAGAACTGAGCCAGACGTTGTTTTCGAAAAGTTCATTTATCTTGAGACAATAGTTTGAAAAATGTAATTCCTTTCAATGTACCTGAACTGCGGTCTGTAAACCAACACAAGAACGCCCAAAATGGGCATTAAAATTAAGTAATGAAATAATTCGATTCTTTGTGTGTTATTGGGACTCAGCTTTCTTTCATTTTCGCCCCATAAACGCGAAAATTTACCATTAAATTTTATAAGCGTATTAAAGCACATACCCCCCCCCCTTCTGTAATGGTTGAATTAGGTCGCGTATTCTTGTCTGGCACTATACGGAAACCTGAAACTTTTGATTATGTCGACAGAACATCCGTCACCTCCTCTTCAAATAGCAGATGGCGGGAAGATATTCTATGCGAATCTCGTTTTTCAGCAGACAAATTGTCAGCCTTGCCGACAGCTCTCGTCCAATATGGCCGATGTTTGCTGTACTAATTGCTAGTGTTGGGAGAGAGCTTGACTGTGAGTTATGTCTGCTGTCTACTTCCCGAGACTAACTTCTCACTAGTAAAGTCACATGAACTGCACAAAAGCTGATTTTTTTGTCCGGATTGAATCTGTTTAAACTGCACATTCCGCCAAACTTACAAGTTAAATATGTGCCATATCTGAACAAAGCACTACTACATTGATACGCTCGTGAATGTTTAGAATGCACAATGATGTAGTTCTCATGTATCCCCAAACCATTACTACCTGGACACCCCCTTGAAAGTCTTGAGTTCGAATCCGGGTTCT